TAAGATTAGATATGTCAGGCCACTCATCTTGCTTTTTTCTGGCGTGGTCTCAAAATGAGGCATTGCCCCTCACCCCTGAGCAACCTCAGACCAATAAAATCATTTGTTTTCACAGTTTGAAATTCTTTGCAGTCATTGGCTGTTAACTATTAAAGAGATAAGACACTCAAACCTTAAATGGCCCATTTTACCTGATGGTCCAATTTGCCTGATATCACCCTACCATTATAGGACTAAACATGCAATGTTTTTAAAAGCCTCGTTTACTGACTTTTGCAGTATGATACGCGCTCACTGATTCGAAACAAATGATTCGCAAAGGTTTAGAAGCTTCACGAAGCAGTGTTTCAAAAGTGCACATGGCACATCACTGGTAGTAGCCTAGGTAAAGTACTGAAAATCTTTCAGACCACATGGCAAGTGGACGTTTTAGAGGACCAGGTGCAGATCTTCACCAGTCGCTCACAAGTCTGTGTCCAGAGTTTGACACAACCGTAAGATTTTTTTTTCTCTGAAATAGTTTTTGGGGTTCAAGCGACTTTTTTCTTAAGATAGCTGAACAACATGCTTACCAAAACAAACCATTGTTTGATGTAACGAAATAGTTTTTTTAATTCTTGAATACATTTAGTTACTCAATTCGTAGAGTTTGCGAAGCGCAGAACCAATTTTTCTAGTTTGTAGGTGATTATCGCTTTCGCACTGGAGGAAACTTTCAGGGTATATATTGTGAGATATGAATGGCCAGTTCAAGTTGAATTCTTGTTGTGAACACTAGAGAGTGCTAGTCTAACAGCGTAACCCGGGTGTGCCTCACACGTCCTGAAAAGTGAAGCTGCGGGCTCTTTGATCCCCCCCTGGTGGCTGGCCGCAGTACAGGTCATAAACCCCTCCCTCTCCATGTAAACGAATGGGACTTGAGTCAAAATAAAAAAATAAATTACACTTCCAATACAATTTTCCGACAGATGTTTTTTGTCATTTAAGGTAGTTGTTATCACGCTGATTCTCTGAAATAGTTTTTGGGGTTCAAGCGACTTTTTTCTTAAGATAGCTGAACAACATGCTTACCAAAACAAACCATTGTTTGATGTAACGAAATAGTTTTTTTAATTCTTGAATACATTTAGTTACTCAATTCGTAGAGTTTGCGAAGCGCAGAACCAATTTTTCTAGTTTGTAGGTGATTATCGCTTTCGCACTGGAGGAAACTTTTCATGGTATATATTGTGAGATATGAACGGCCAGTTCGAGTTGAATTCTTGTTGTGAACACTAGAGAGTGCTAGTCTAACAGCGTAACCCGGGTGTGTCTCACACGTCCTGAAAAGTGAAGCTGCGGGCTCTTTGATCCCCCCCTGGTGGCTGGCCGCAGTACAGGTCATAAACCCCTCCCTCTCCATGTAAACTAATGGGACTTGAGTCAAAATAAAAAAATAAATTACACTTCCAATACAATTTTCCGACAGATGTTTTTTGTCATTTAAGGTAGTTGTTATCACGCTGATATATGTTAAATTGGTCGTTTTTGTGATAAGTTTGATTTTAGCTAGTAATTTGATGCTATAAAAACGGGACGTGTCATTATGGTTGATTTGGTCTGCGGGAGTTTGATACCGCGGCTCCACCTCACGACACTACTGCGCAGACTCTGGCTCCAAACG